CTAGTCTTTAAGTTCTGATTATTTGAACTTATTCAAAACTTGCACATGTTTAATCTCCTCAAAGATAAAGAGACTTGAGGCAATGGAGGTACGGTTCTACAGAAGGATGCTAAGGATACTATGGACCGAACATGTGAGCAATGGGGAGGTTTTGGAGAGGATGCAAACAAGGAGGAGACTTATACTTAACATCAGGAAGAGGCAGCTGAAATTTCTGGGACACGTAATGAGAAAGGTGGGCCTGGAGAATCTAATACTCACAGGGGGAATAGAGAGAAAGAGAGACAAGGTAAAACAATGCATGACATACTCAGCAAATGGATGGCAGAACAGGGTCTGCGAGATGTAACAAAAGGACAAAACATTGAGAATGACATGGAATGGGGCAAGTGGAGAACCATGTTTGCCTGTGTCCTGAAGAGATACGGTACATAAAAGTTGTGTTTTTTTTTTTTTTTTTTTTTTGCCTCACTTTTGCTTGGAGAGTCATTGGAATCTTGCCAAAATCAATGTTATAAGTGATATGTTTAACTTGACACTCTTTCTAAAAAATAACCCATGTCAAGTGGCTTTTGGAGGCTCTACAAAACAAAATTCAGTCAGATGAACATAATTTTTGCCATATTTTTCTTGCTTTTTTTTTTTTTCATCTCCCAACTTTAAATAACGCCAGCAAAAAGGCACAAGACAATTCTGTTACTCCTTTTAAGTGTAAATTCTTAAATATTAAAACAATTTAAATTATGAAAATGTAAGAAAATTCTTCCCAGGAAGCAGAGCCAGTGCAAGGGTCTTGTGCCCTACCCCTCACAAAACTGATGTTATCCTGGCACTACAGTGGCAGGCGAAGACACTACATCTCATAACAGATTCAGCTTGCATCCCCCAATGGATCTCAAATACCCTAACCACAAGGGCAGCCAGCAAAATGCTGCTATAAAGACAGCTCAACATGCTTGTAGATGTCTATATTTCTGAGATGAGTTATTATGTACACTATTTACATTATTTGGACTATTGTCCTCATCTTTGTTGCCATATTTATTACGTTTTGGCTGTTGTATGCTCCGGCCTTCTTCAGGTTGTTGGAATGTCGAACTGAACCCTTTATTTCGCTCACTGGAGTAGACTGTTCTAGTTCCACGTGCCATGTTTAACGGATGTCAGTTATTAGATATCTCCTGTTAATTTCCCTCTCCAAGTTCTCCACTGCCTTAACCGGCTATTGAACTCACAGTCTTGGGTCCTGTTTTGGATTTGCCAACTGGAACCTTGAGTCGGCAGGACACGGCAAGTGTTGTAGACCAGCTGGAATCCATGTTTTATGAGCATGGTCCATCACTTGAGATCCTGGCTAACACTTTTACCGGTCAACGCTTTTGGCAGTTCCTGTGTGACTGGAGTATGCATCTTCAATTCCAGTGTGTCTATGAAATGGCAGGAAATGGTATAGTTGAGAGAAGCCACAGAAGTGTATAAACCATTGCAGCTAGGAAACAATGTTCCATACCAAAGGACAGCATCTTAGCCTCCACAGCACCAGCCAACGTCATACACACCTAAAACATCTGGAGACAGGATATTGATCCAGTGACCACACCTGAACCGCAGGATGTCTGGGGAAAGTTTCGCTTGGGGGATATTGTATTGGAGCAAATGTACAAGTATGTCCTAGATGGGCTGGGGGACCGAAATCAACAGTCCCCACTCAGTGCTTGTTGATAGAACCCCTCATCATGTAAAAAACTTGCGCCCTTTTTCACATGGGAGCAGCTTGTCAGAAGAAAACCAACCATTGGAAAGGCTATGGCTGGTATCGCTAGACAATGCCGCTGACACAAGTATCTCAGAAACTGCAGAGTATGATGATGATCTGCCTGATGACGGTCTTGGATGTAATTCATCCTAATAAGAAGCCAGAGCTCCCCCACTCCAGATAAATAGCTTCACTTATTGCGATAAGGACTTCGGTGGAGGAATGTAATGAAGGAGGTGTCAAGAGAAGACATTGTTCGCCCACAGGGAAAAAGAATTCATGCAGCAACATACATTGTAGCCATGAGCAGAATTGATTTCATTGTGATTCAAACCTGAGCATTTCATTAACCATTTGAGGTTGATTTATCTGATTAGAATGAACACACAATAGACAAGCCAGGATGTTAAGAGAGTGACATGATTTGCATATCCATACAAATTTAATCCAAACACCCAGATCGAGTAATTTACAAGACAATAAAAAAATGAACAAGATTGACACTGGGGCAGTGAGGAGAAAGGCGTTCTTAATGGTGTTCCTAAAGTCAGCTCAGGTGATCAAGAAACTGATATGTGCAACCATGTTTCTTAATGGTGTTCCTAAAGTCAGCTCAGGTGATCAAGAAACTGATATGTGCAACCATGTTTCTTAATGGTGTTCCTAAAGTCAGCTCAGGTGATCAAGAAACTGATATGTGCAACCATGTTTCTTAATGGTGTTCCTAAAGTCAGCTCAGGTGATCAAGAAACTGATATGTGCAACCATGTTTCTTAATGGTGTTCCTAAAGTCAGCTCAGGTGATCAAGAAACTGATATGTGCAACCATGTTTCTTAATGGTGTTCCTAAAGTCAGCTCAGGTGATCAAGAAACTGATATGTGCAACCATGTTTCTTTGCTTTTATCTGTGTTTTGCATTATTTTTACTTCAGCATCATACACAAGATATAAACTTATATGTACCATGGCTACACCATTGACCAAACTATATATCCATTTACTGTAGTCAAAAAGTACAGCTGTATTTAAAATAAACATGATTTTGATAAAACTGAGGTTTTACTTAACTGTATCCAATAATAATACATGTAATATTCACATGTTAGTATCATATTATCAAATACAAACATAGTGAATATGCAATTTTCCCATTGTTTACATTTATAAGATGTTAAGCTGTTTCTCATATTCAGGCGTTTACACGAGTATAGCGTTACTAATGATACTTTTTTCTTTCTCTTTTACTTTTTTAACTAGAAGATGGGATAAAGAGATAGCGGAAAAGAAGTTAGTCTATTGTAATTTGGTCTTTCAAAAAAGGAACTCTCTTGATACACAAGATGCATGATTTACAAGTGAAAATTTGGTGGGGGTGGTGCATATGTGCAGGATCGCACATTACACAAGTATATACAGTATGTAGAATAATGGATGATATTCAATATAGGTGAACAATTCAACTAGTAAAATTGAAAATAAATATAATGTATCTAAATCAGCATTGTTTTGCACCAATTTTTAATATCAGCTTGTGCAGGATGAATTTTTTTTTTTCGGGGTGGGGGCAGTCTCAGAATTTCAACAGTAGTCCTAACTCCAAGTGTTTGTCAAGTTATGATTGTTTGATTTTAATCAAAACCTACATATGTTTAATCATTTACTTATAGACTATCAAATCTGGATAGTTGCTTTTTCTACCTTCTTTTTTTTTTTGCTTGGAATGCCCTGTTGAAATGAATGTTATAGGTGACAGGCACGTTTAATGCTACCCTCCTTTAAAAAAAAAAAAAAATGACATATCGAATGAATCTTAGGCTTCTGCAACACAAAATTCAGTTGAATTAACACAATTTTTTGACATTCTACCTGCTTTTTTTTTCCGTTGTTTTTTTGTTTTGTTTTGTTTTTTGTTTTTTTTTGTCTCCAACTGCACAACTTTGAATAATGCTTAAAAAAAAAAAGGATCTAGATAAATTTTTTTTTCTCCTTTTTAGTGTAAGTTCCCAAATTTTAAATCCATTTAAATCTGCAAAATGTAAGAAAATTCCACTGAAGAAGATATTTAAAATGTACTCCATTTCTTTCATATATGAAATTATTCATTAACTACTTTTGGCATTAGGTTACCCGTCCTGGGTATGACGATAAACTATATCCACGTCCTGGGTAAGACATCCGACAGAAAGGCCTCTGATCAGGAGGTTTTGAGGAGTGTGGAACCACCTCTTAATTGCTGGTGTTCCCAGGTCCACCCTGACCCAGGGTGGTAGCACCTGCTAGGGTCCCAGCTATGGGCAAATGGTTGACTCTTAAACTCAGATCAAAACACTATGAAAGTGTAAAAATAGCTTTTAATACCAGAAATACTTTGTATAAAAAATTATTACCAGCAATACATTTTTTTTTTTTTTTTTTTTTTGAAAAAAAAAAATATTGCCTGCAAAGGAAAATTCTTACCAGAAATAGATTTTTGGAAAAAAAATATTACCAACAGTGAAATTTTTGTCAACATTAAATAACCCATTGAAGTTGATATACCATAAAACAAACCAAAACAAACCATTAGGTTAAAAATATCAGTTTTTGACATAACTTTTTATTTATCAGAAAATCATGATCTAAACCTCTATTTCTATCTTTTGTGGTGTGCTTAAATACATTTTTGATACCTAAAAGAAGTCTAAGTGGTTTGGAGGACTTACCTAAAATACACTATTTATATTCAGATGATTGTCCTCATCTTTGTTTTTGCTATCGGCTGTTGTGCGCTCAGGCCTTTCACCGGTGTATATCAATCTGGATAACTTACAGAGAATTCTGAACTGAACCCTTTATTTAATCTACAGGGTTAGACTGTTTTAGTGATATTGTCTATATTTTATTTTTATTTAGTACTGCTTGCCTATTTCCACTGAGTGCAAGTACACACTGTTGGATTGAACTTGCAATCAGTGTTACCAAATTCAAAAACAAACACTGGGTCATTGTCCCGTAGTACAATTTGCTGTAGTGAACTTGGAGCCATAAACCTAACCTACCTACTACACTCCTAAATCCCAGAGGACTCTAGGTAATTAGGCCATTAAAATTACTCTCTGGACATACCACCAGTACTACCACATTCCACCATCACCACCACATCTGAATATCTTGATCATCTGTTTTACGCATTGTATTTTTATGACCTCTGACCTGTGATTTCAGATATATTTCTTTTTCTTTTTTTTTTTTTTCTTTTTCCAGGGAAAACAATAACCATGGCATTATTTACTACAATCTTTTGCGGTGGCCAGCCAAGGCGATTATCATGTCAACGTCATCATTTGCCTGTGCCAGTGTTACATCTGAATTTTCCAGCTTTGCTATAACAGGAAATTAAAGATGTATTATTTAGGCTGAGGGACTCGGCCTTTCTTCTCTTTTTCTTCTTCTTCTATTTATTTTTTTTTCCTTCTGTGGATAACAAAACATGTTTATCTTACCCCACCTTACACATTTATCATCCGCAATACATTATATGTAAATATACACACACACACATATATATATATATATATATATATATATATATATATATATATATATATATATTTTAAGCACATCATATAAAGTAGTTTGTCTTACTGTTCTTTTTCTTCCCGATTGGTGTGCATCAATCCCTATAAATTGGTTCAGCTACAGCTGATTGTGAAACTTTGGCCAGTTTTAATGAAATTGGAAAGAGAAAAAAAAATGATAATGTTAAAAGCTTTGTTACGTCCCTGCCAAGAATGGAAAGGAAATATGTTCAGAAATTGCTTTAAGGAGTTTATAATTCAATCAGGATATTTAAGATTCTCTTTGTAAATAAAAAACAAAAAAAATTTTTTTTTTAAATCTGCAAAAAAAAACTGACATAAAGATATACTTTGCCCTCTAGCCCTCCAAAAAAAAAAAAAAAAAAAATGGCTATGATTGATGATTATGTCTTTCTTATATCTCATATTAGAAACTCATTTATTACCAGTGATGATACTGGTATGTACGAGATGATAATCGAGGGAGAGGAACAGGAAAAAATGCTGGAGAAGCGGTTAATGTCTTGGCATGTCGGTGCTGGTGGTAGCCTTTTGACACAGACTGCAAGCTCCTCGTCGACGCCAACAACCCAACAGAATTGTTCACAGTCCAATCACGAGAGCCACGGTCTTCTAGATTTGGATGGCGGAGACCTATCTCGCTCTTTTGACATCATGCCTGACATGGACTACGGTGCTCATCGGCGTCGTTCTAACACTGCCCAGCGTTTGGAGCGGATGAAGAAAGAGAAGCGCAACCAGGTGAAAGTGAAGCACATTGCTTGGAAGACAGTCCCTGCCGAATATAACCCTGATGAGGATGGGCATCTGTTTGAAAAGAAACAGATCCTGACGCCTACAAGGACAGTGGATGGTGGACCTCCTTCATCTATGCTGTCCCAGCAGTTGCAGACTTCATCAGGAATTATGTCGAATCCATTTCTTGAATACGCAAAATATGATGGCAAAGCTCAGATCGGAGTGCCTACCAAAAAAATTGATATCTTTCTTACTATGGCACCTCCAAGCGAGCGGGCATTTCCATTGCATGTGGTCGTCGTTGTCAATGCCAAAGTACATGAACTGATAGGCTTGATATGCTGGCAGTATACGAACGAGAGTCGTGAACCACCCCTCAAAGACAATGTTTCTATGTACAGCCTGCATATTGCAGAAGATGATGGGGAAGTGGACATGGACTTTCCGTGTTTGGACAATCGAGAACCAGTGTCAAAGTTTGGATTCGGTAAACTTGCTCTTGTTGAATTAGAAGAGCCCTCGCCCCCAATGAAGAACTCTGTGATTATAACAGTTAATGTGCCGAACAGAGGTTTCCATAAATTCCAAGAGGAGGACCTCACCAGGCCTCTGCGTGACATTCTGTGGAAAGTCCTAAAGAAGCGGAAAATCCGACTTCTACCCGGCATGAATTACATTCTTGAAAAGCAGAAGGAACCTGGAAATGCGGTCGACCTTGACACGCTCCTGTCGAATTTGGACAATTATGACTTCTGCCTGGTGCGTGAGCACAGCACCCGAGGTGAGAATGAGGATGAACATCCCCCTGATTCCAATGAAGTGGCTACAGTCTTCATGAGCCACCAGTACAAGTGCTATATTGTGAACCTGGTGCAACGACTTCGGATCAACACGGAAGTGCACCTGGGTGTCAGCGGTGAGAAGGTCGAGATCGACCCCGTCGCGAGCAAAGGGACAACGTTATTTTTTCGTCAGAAGGCTGTGACTTACGAGGCAGACATGATTGCTGCCTGCGACCTGCAAGAGGAGAAGTCCAACGGCAAGACTGTGTTCCGCTTGATTTGTTACGCGGGACACGATTATCGGAACTATGACTTTGAAGCCGACCATGCAGTGGCAAAGGAGATCATTCAAAAAATTAATAACATTTTGAATCTTCTCCTAAGTCAGGTGAGGAAGACATATTTGGCTTCACGGGGAAAGAAATATCTGAAAAAAATGCATTCCAAGTAAACAAAGATAAGAAAATAAATAATTCAAATTGGCAACAAAAGAAAAAATAAAAAAAAATAAAAAAAAGACAAAAACTAGGAAAGATAACAAACCAAAATATTGGTCAATATTTTAATGTTACCAAACTTACCTATGTTACCAATCTTACTATTCCATAGGTGTGGATGTGCAGGTAGCATAATAGCTATTGGCCCAGAAAGTGGAATCAGCAAGCCAAGTTCAAATTCCTCAGGTTGATACCGTTTTGTTAACTTTGTGGTAATGGTAATATTAGCCATTTCCTTATAAGGAAACATTTGGCCTTTCATTCACTGAGCAGCCAGTGCTACTCAAGTTAAGTCTTTCTTCATTCCCTGGCCATCGTGCTGGGATCAAAGAGTAATGTCCTCATTTCTAATGGTAATATTAGCCATTTCCTTATAATGAAACATTCAACATTTATTCACCGAGCAGCCAATGCTACTCCAGTTAAGCCTTTTTTCACTCCCTGGCTATCATGCTAGGATCAAATAGTAGTATCTGTTCTCATTTATGATGTTAATGGTAATATTAGCCGTTTACTTATAAGGAAACATTTAGCATTCATTGACCAGTTGAAATTTATCAAATCTTTCTCCTAAAACAGTTTTATTTTTTTTTTTAGGAAAACAGGTTTCTCAAGTCCACTAGCTGTTATCACTATTTCCAATATTGATGGGGGTTTCCTTCCTCACCTTTTGTTTGAAGTTGTGTGGAACATTGACATCTTGATAATGTTCTTATTTTCACTTCAAGTTACATGTGCTATCCATTTGTTGCTGTTGTTGAAAGTTCTCAAGTGATGATGTTTCTGTTATTTGGTACAGTTCTTTGTGATTTTGTAGCACCTGTCCACAAGGTTCAAAGAGTGGTCATCACTAAGGCCTACAGGTTTCATTTCTTGAAGCCATTTTTAATCATTGATCTGGGGAAGTGATTATATACAGCAAAAAAAAAAAATGACTACGTTATTTTTTCATCAGAAGGCTGTGACTTATGAGGCAGCTATGACTGCTAGCTGCCCTTGGAAAAGGCATGAATCAGTTTTCCTCCAGCTATGGGTTAAATAGCAGGGTATATTGGGCTCTCTAACCTTGGTTAGCAGCCAGTCTAGGAGAAGGAAAACTCTGAATTCCAAAACCTGAGGAGAACTGTTTGGAAACTTTGTGGCACACTGTGCACTCACAGATGAAATATTGCAAGCCTCTCACTACTCTATTGCTATGGAAAATGTTCAGATGAGCTAGATACATTAGTTCCACTGACTCTAACCCTCACAGCTAAGACCCATCATGCTTCGTACGCTGAGATGACCCGCCCTCGTTTCTTTTGTATTGCATTAGTAAGAAGTAAGTTCTACATGAACGATGCCTTCCCATGAACTGATACTTTGCAGAACTGACTCTCAAGATGATTTCCACTACAATTTTAACCTGTTCAAGTCTAGACTTGACTGTTATTTTGTTCCCCCACATGTCCTTATAAACTGTGCCTCTCATTCTTACCACTCACACAACAAACTTCGTCAGTAATCCTCTATCTTGAGTAACTCTTGGGCCTTGTACAAGGTGAACATTAGTAAAAAAAAAAAAAAAAAATCCTTCCTTCACTATTGTAATCAAATAGTATAGTGGTTCCGTTTCAAGCCCTTGTGTTGAAGCCAAGGGGAGAGAATCAGTTGTACTGAAACAAAAAAAATCTTTAATCTTTTAATGATAATGGTTTTTGTTGTAACCTAGAAAAGGTTACTGAATAAGAAAAACCAAATTGAAGGTTGGAAATGGAACGCTAATCTTTATAACATTAACAACATACAAGATTCACCAGCGACGTGTAGTAAGTAATCCTCTGCTAGTGGTGAATTAGCAGTGGATTATATTCCACCGTATTTATGCGGATTGGGACATACCCATTATAGTCCATAGGTATGGTGTAACAGTTTTGAGTTTATTTTTATTCTGTAGGAAACAGATATCAAACAGTCTCATTTAATTGAACAAAATTTCAGCAGCAAAAAGAGATTTGAAAAAGAACATCTTTAGTTTTTCTACAAAAATGCAATTCTCCAAGAAATAATCATTTTATTCAAAATTCCTTTTTATATTACAATCAAGCCCTGCAGATCATATAATATACATATAGATATTCCCCACAAACCCCCGGAAATTTCAGTTTGTTATGTAAAGTCATTGCAAATTGATCCCTTTATGCAAGCCAAAAAATTATGATGATGATGATAAGGTGATATCGATGATGATAAACAAAATGTAATTATAATAAAAAGTAATAAAATAAATAATATAATTATAAATAAAATAGAAATAAATAATAAAAATAATGATAAAATTATATAAATAAAATATAATTACAAATAATTCTCATAAAAATGATAATATATAAAAAAAAAATAATAATTAAAAATAATACTAATAAAAAAAGAAATAATGATGAAAAATTAATAGTAAAAGGAAAAGGTAGATAAAAATTTGCTGTAAATTCATATTTTGCGGTTGTTTTGGAATTCAAAATTTTGCATATAAGCATTATTTTAACACCAGATAAAGGTAATTAAGAAAATGCTTTGTGATATGAGCACTTATTTTTTTATTAGTTTGTGTAGGATGTTCAATTTACAATAGATTTATAAACAGAACAGCCCTCTTAAAAGTTTGAAAAAGAAAATTTAAATCTGTGATGTAGACTGCTTATTTGATAGCAGTATATGAATAAAAAATTTGATGACAAAAATATTACTTTTGGAGAGGTATCTTTCTGTAGAAACGGCAAATCTTTGTATAAAATTGCCCTTGACATGCTTTCATTTCAATCACAGTTCTTAAGCCTGAATCAGGCGTAATCATAATGATGACTTCCTTTTATTACTTATTCAATACAAAGCCTAATAGCTATTCAAAGTAAAGGGTTACTGAATGCTGTTGTATGGATGTGAGGGAAGGAGGTAAACAGCGAAAAGCATCCTCTCAGGAGTCCCTTCCACAAAGTAGCACTTCTTAGCAAGAAGTGGTCTGAATAGACCTTCCTGCTTACCAAGGGAATTAGGATGTTTCACCATTGTGCTCATGGCATGGTGGGTGTGAACTGTGAAGGTCTGAACTGATAGAACTAAGGAATGTAGCTTGTCAGAACATTTTTGATGGAAATAGTGATAGAATAGTAAGAGGCTAGCAATGTTTTGTCTGTGGGAAAAGGGGTTGTATGGTGGGAAATAATTCATCATCCACAAGCTCGTGTGGACTTTTGAAGAATGGAAAGTGAGGATTGGGTAGCTCCAGCTGAGATATAGCAATGATATTTCATTTTTGGTCTCTTCTGTCTTTTCTAATGTGTATGCTGGATACTGAGGAAGTTGAAGGAGGCTGCAGATATCTGCCAATGAAGTACATGTCAGGGCAATCATGAATTTTAATGCAATGCAGTTAGCTGAGCAAAGTTGCTGCTGTGGAATTTCCCTCCTTGGTATCGTTTGAAATCGTCAAGGAACTTGGTGTACCCGACAATAGGCAAATAGACGAGAAATAAACAAATTCTGTTGACAGTTTTGTTTTCTTTCTATTTTTTTTTTTTTCTTGAAGAATGTTTTGTTTTTGTTCTTGTTTTGTTTTGTTGTACTCTTACAAGGACTGGAAAAATGACTGGTTAAAATGTGTTTAGAAGAGCAAATTGACTACTATACTTGATTGGATATAGCTAACCTTTAGCACTTTAGCATCATTATTATTATTATTACTTCACTTTCCACTGCATTATTTTTCAAGGCCTCTCAATTGCAGTATCCTTATTGTTAATTACACTCAAAATTGTTTACGTTGCCATAGCAGGATATGACAACACAACTATGAAATTCAAACACTATTGTTCAAGGATCAGAGTCTCCTTCAGTGGCAGAATGAACTTTTTGTATAGCAAATGAAGTCTCATACAGAGCAATAAAGGCTAATGTGTCTTCTCATAATGATAGACAATTAAAAATACTGTTTTTCTTCTGTCGACTAACTCAACATACAAATCCTTGAAACAGGTAAATTCGCACTATGTGGGTTTGGGGGACTTCTAAAAAAGACTAGAAATATTGTTTGTTTTTTTTAGAAATGGCTTAAATATAACTTTATTGCAAATTATTCAGTTTAAATACAGAAGGCATAAAAATGACTTCAAAGGGCCGGCTTGTACTCTTTTCCTGTTAACCAGAGGTTGTTGCCAGACAGAAATGTAAATTAATCCTGGCAACACAGATGTCCATTTCAGTTTCATTCAGACGGTGTGTGTGTGTATATGGATGTTTGCGTGTGCACATGTACATTTTAATTCAATGACAAACCTAAAAATATTTGTACCAAAAAACTTTGAAAAATAATTCTATTTGTTACTGAATAATTTCTGAGAAATTCAATAAAAATCTTTTTTTTTTTTTTTTTTTCTAGGGCTTAAAAATTTGCTCAGTCCAGAATAGTCATTGTTGACACTGAATGAGAGGGGAATGTATTATTCCAATGTTTTAATTCAAACTGATTAAAATGTGCACAGGCAGCGCATGACGGACAAAGAATCATTTCATTTTTAATAATGTAGATTTGAATCCAGAGTTACTTAATTGTTTGTTTTCACTCTCTCTTTTTTTTTTCTCCTTTTCTTTTTTTTTTTCCTTTTCTTTTTTTCTTTCTCCTTTTCTTTTTTTCTTTCTCCTTTTCTTTTTTTCTTTCTCCTTTTCTTTTTTTCTTTCTCCTTTTCTTTTTTTCTTTCTCCTTTTTTTTTTTTTCTCCTTTTCTTTTTTTCTTTCTCCTTTTCTTTTTTTTTTTCTTTTTCTTTTTTTTTCTTTCTCCTTTTTTTTTCTTTCTCCTTTTTTTTTCTTTCTCCTTTTTTTTTCTTTCTCCTTTTTTTTTCTTTCTCCTTTTTTTTTCTTTCTCCTTTTTTTTTCTTTCTCCTTTTTTTTTCTTTCTCCTTTTTTTTTCTTTCTCCTTTTCTTTTTTTCTTTCTCCTTTTCTTTTTTTTTTCTCCTTTTCTTTTTTTCTTTCTCCTTTTCTTTTTTCTTTCTCCTTTTCTTTTTTTTTTTTCTCCTTTTCTTTTTTTTTTCTCCTTTTCTTTTTTTTCTTTCTCCTTTTCTTTTTTTCTTTTCCTTTTTTTTTTTCTTTCTCCTTTTCTTTTTTCTTTCTCTTTTCTTTTTTTTCTTTCTCCTTTTCTTTTTTTTCTTTCTCCTTTTCTTTTTTTTCTTTCTCCTTTTCTTTTTTTTCTTTCTCCTTTTCTTTTTTTTCTTTCTCCTTTTCTTTTTTTTCTTTCTCCTTTTCTTTTTTTTCTTTCTCCTTTTCTTTTTTTTCTTTCTCCTTTTCTTTTTTTTCTTTCTCCTTTTCTTTTTTTTCTTTCTCCTTTTCTTTTTTTTCTTTCTCCTTTTCTTTTTTTTCTTTCTCCTTTTCTTTTTTTTCTTTCTCCTTTTCTTTTTAGGAGGCTTTTATTTATTTATTCCCAGTTTGGTAATGCTCAAATATTGACCAAAATATCTACACACAAACATATATATGCACATGAAGAAGTGCTGAAAAGTTACAGCCCTGCACACTTCCCAAGAACTAGTATTCAAATGAATATAAATTTGGTGTTGGGTTAATGTGAGGTATTTTCAGTCCCTGTTTGTCTGTACTAATATATATATATATATATATAGAATTTGAAAAATGTTAAAAAAAAATGCAATTTCAACAGTCATGAAAAAAAACAAAAAACCCACAACAAAGTATGAAAGATTGCGTGTATATAGGGGAGGAGTTTTCCCCTCAGTCAAAATATAACATCTATGTATCTTAATGGCTTGTGTAATACATCACTCACTCTCGCTCACTCTTATTTTCTTATTTTAGATTGTAAATTATGAAAACAATAGACATATGAATCAATATTTGCCTTTTCTTGTCACATATACACACCCCTCCACAAAAATCCTCACCTCAACCCCTTCTAAAATTAGCCCAGTGTTAAAAAATAATTGTTTTTTTTTTTTTTTGTTTTTTTTAATTTTCACCATGTCTCCAATTTAGAATATTTAAATATTTGACACCTTTTAACACCTTTCTTGATGTTAAGAAAAAAAAAAAACATCAAAAATGTGCCAACAAATATTTAAAAAATAACTAATATATTAAATGTAAAATTCATAGTATTTATTATTTGTGCATGCGTGCGTGCGTGTGTGTGTGTGTGTGTGTGTATATATATATATATATATATATATATATATATATATATATATATATAAAAAAGAGATACATAAACATTTTTGGTTATAATGTGGATTTTTTTTTTTTTTAAAATATTATGTTTTATCTTCCATAATTTTTACTACACACATTTCTGGTCTCATGACCATCATCAGGTAATGGGTGGAGATTTTCGCATATTATTAAAAATAATTTTTTTCTTAAGTTTTTTGATGTTCAATATTCTCAATATGAGGCAATCTCTTTTTATGTGTTAATATTTATTATTTGTGCATGCATACATGTGTGTATGTATGTATGTATGTATGTATATATATATATTCTCTTTTTATGTGTTAGTAATCCACACGCATACTGACAGAAACGGACAAAAATGGAAATAGATCTAAGAACACACAGGTGTCATTCAAACATTAAAAGATAAGATACTGATAACTAATTCATCATTTCTCTCAGACCAACCTTAATTGTTTTATGACCCTTTGCGCAGAACTCTTTACTGCCAGTTCAAGAAAGACATTCAGATTACAAACACATAAAAAGATAATGTCTCATATCGAGAATATTTAACATCGAAAAACATAAAGGAGAAAAAAATTATTTTTAATAATATGTGGAAATCTCCACCCTTTACCTGATGGCGGACGCGAGACCAGAAACCCGTGTAGTAAAATTATGGAAAATAAAGCATAAAATTTTTTTTTAAAAATCCACATTACAATCAAAAACATTTGTAGTATCTCTCTTCTTTTTAATATACACACTTTTCTCTTGTTGGGACTACTATAATCTCTTCCTTTTATATATATATATATATATATATATATATATATAAAATAATAATAATGGACTCACCCATCGGTTTCAACATATGAGGAACTGACAGCTTAGTTGATTCAGTTATGAAGCCTTGTGCGTTAATCTTAAGTGGCATTTAAGACCCGCTAGTGATTTACAAAGGAGACCACATATGGAGCAAGTATGAGGATTGTGAGATGAGATCACTGTTAGATTGGCAGACCTTTTAGATCTTGCTCTTGCTTCTTGAAGATGATTCAGACAAGCAGATTGAAAATTGCTGAGTCCACTAAAACACGTTGATCTACATTCTACCCGCTCCAAAGCTAAGTGCTCAAGGGTGTTATGTGGTATATATATATATATATATATATATATATATATATATAAAATAATTGTTTTTTGAAAAATATATAATCATTGCAACACTGGAATTCCCATGTTTCAAAACTGAAACTTCAATTCAAACCTATCTACTCCTGTTGAAAGAGAAAAAATAAATAGCAAATAAAATTTCAGCTGAATTTTTACATATAATGGATTATATACATATTTCAGTTCTGTAGATTGGTTGGGGCACCACGTACTGTAGTCGGAGCCATCATGGATGTGTCTAAGGCAAGATAGCCTGACTCGGGCCCTCTCTCTTCCTCAATCTGGTTATTAATTTCATTGTTAAAGGAAATTAAAGAAAAATGGGATAGCAACTCAAATATATTAAAATATTAAATAACTTTTAATATAATAAGAGATAATGTTGGATAAAAAGTCCATTCGAAAAATACTGTTTACGTTTCGGACATGAAACTGAAGCTAGCAGATTTACACTTGTAGAAATCCTAATGAGAAATATACTTTCCTTAAATGGGTAATTCAAACCTTGATCTATCAATACAGCCTCCTTGGCCGAGATTAGTAAAGACATGTTTCGGCTATAAAAGCAGTTTTCCTGATACACAATCTTCCTTTATTAAAGACATTTTTATGTTTAACATTCTTTTTATAGATACAAGTATTTAAGTAAATGCTCTGTTTATAATAAACAGTATTAAATAACATTTACCGGCCTGAATATCCGAGAAATTTTCATAGAAAATATTCGTCCTTTGACAGGATTCGAACCTGCATCCTATACGGAACTGGCATTTACGCTGATGTGCCTTACCGTCTCGGCCACAAAGGAGCGTTCGGTTGGTATTAAATGTCTTTAATAAATTGTCGGACTTTGTCCAATTCTTAATGTATGACGTCATTTGTTTACATTTGATATGCCAGAAGCAGTTATGAATGTACGAGATTCATGGAAGATTGAAGCTTATAAGCAGTAAATTTGACCTTGTCTACCAAAAGGTTCTTTGTGGCCGAGAGGTTAGGCATGTCAAGCTAAATGACGGTTCCGTATAGGATGCAGGTTCGAATCCTGTCAAAGGACGAATATTTTCTATGAAAATTTCTCGGATATTCAGGCCGGTAAATGTTATTTAATACTGTTTATTATAAACAGAACATTTACTTAAATACTTGTATCTATAAAAAGAATGTTAAACATAAAAATGTCTTTAATAAATTGTCGGGCTTTGTCCATTTCTTAATCTTTCTTTAGTACGACTTCTCAATCTATATTGGTTGTTATTAATTTCACTGTTCACTAAATCATTATTATCTCAAAAAAAAAAAAAAAAAAAACAATTCTTACAATCTAAAAATATTTTCTGGCTTTAAATAACCTGCAAAGGGTTGATAAGCCATAGCAAATGAAACAATCAAATCCTTCATTGTTACTACTTTGACAGTAACACTCTAGCTTGAATCAATCATTGAAATTCTGATTAGCTACAAAGGTTTGGTTTGGTTTGGTTTAGTTTATTTTGTTTTACGGCATATCAACCTCAGTGGGTTATTTAATGCCGACAACATTTTTAGGATAGATTCGTATGAATAGAATATGTATTCTTTGGTTTAGATTGGTTTGATTTATTTTGTTTTACGGCATATCAACTTCAATGGGTTATTTAATGCCGACAACATTTTTAGGATAGATTCGTATAAATAGAATATGTATTCTTTGGTTTAGATTGATTTGATTTATTTTGTTTTATGGCATATCAACCTCAATGGGTTATTTAATGCTGACAAAAGATTTTTATTGCTGGTAATATTTTGTTTTGTCAAAAATTTGTTTCTGGTAATAATTTTTTTCAAAAAAGTATTGCTGATAATAGTTAACTATTTTCCCATAGCTGGGACCCTAACAGGTGCCACCACCCTGGGTCAGGGTGGACCTGGGAACACCAGCAATTAAGAGGTGGTTCCACGCTCCTCAAAACCTCCTGATCAGAGGCCTTGCTGCTGGACGTAGTTTAATGTCTTACCCAGGATGCGGATGTAGTTTAACGTCTTACCCGGGACAATAACTACAAAAGAATGACTTTTAGATTTATTTACATATAAATGTATAGAAACTACTGTGGCCACATAGTAAGGGTCCGGTTTACATATTGACTGTAATATAGAATTAATCCCCCACTTTATACTCACTTTTTTCTTTCTTTTCTTTTTTTTTTTTTTTTTTTTTTTTTTTAATCAAATTCTGATTATGTGTGAATTTACTTTTCTCCCCGTCCAAACAATAGGTTAATTAATACAACTTGTATCATTAAACCATTATTATCTTAAAAAAGAAAAAAAAATTTCATGCGATCTCAAAAATATTTTCTGGTTATAAATAAAATGCAAAGGGTTGCTAAATCATAGCAAATGAATCGATGAAATCAAATCATTTATCGTAACTATTTTGGCAGTAACACTCTACCTTGAATCAGTCAATGAAATACTGATTAGTTACACAGGTATGACTTAGATTTATTTACATTCTCTGGAATATCTATCTATCTATCTATCTATCTGTGTGTGAAGGCCTGCCTCATGACAGATAGTTTTAAATTTTCTGTTTCTTTCAGTGATCAGTATTTGAGCCGATATTAAAATGATGTCAAATATTGAAATTTTTTTCACTTACTTAGACGACTGATGCTGCACGACATTCCTATTCGCCTCCATTTTTGCTTATGCTGATTCAAAATGTTTCAGCTTTAAAATAGGGTTGAAAAACAAATCCATCAATCAAACATTGTGTTTGTCCCATGTTAATCTAATCTTTGCAAATATTCACTTATCCCTGTATTTAATTAATTTCTCTCGTCAAACCATTTGTATTTTTCACTCTTGTTGATAGAAAACAGGTTTCCGAAGGAAAAACTCTTATCAGTAAATACAATTCAACATGATCACACGACTAAAAATTATCTTTCTTTTTTTCTTTTTTATCCACTCATTTTTCTTTGTCCTTTAAAAAAAAAACTGATGTCAAAATCTTTTCAATTTAGTATATTCACAATATGAGACATGGCAAAAACAGCCTTTGTATTAAATGTCATGGTTTTAAAAAAACAAAAGAAACAAAAACATTGTCGATAATA